CGTCCGCGACCCGGGTATCCTTCCGTTATTGTCCCTCATATAATAATCGTCCTCCGTCCCCATGCTGGTGCCTCCAAAATGATCATCAAGTGATAGACTTGTTGCCCTTTTTTATAGCTACCAGCATCAGAAGCACACGCGCAAAAGCTGTGTGTGATTCAAATGTGGAGAAATAGCCAATTTTGGTTTGCCTCTTCCACTCATACTTCCAATTCCTTACTTCAAACTTCATTTTCCAATTGCAGCCCTCTCAAATTTTCCATGGTGAAAACCACCGGTTATTTAGGGCAGTCTCCACCAAGTTTATAGCAGTTTTTAATTGCGCCCAAATCTTAGTAGATCACAAGCGTCGCACCCAGCAGCAACATGTGCAGTCTGTTCGTGTGAACAAGCAATTTAATGCCCACTTTTTCGGATTTTACTCAGTCAGTGTCATGAGGGATCTTAGATGTTCCTATCTATTGTTGGGTCAACATTTACTGTTGCGCAACCGAGAAATGCTATAATCCGGGCCAATGTGCATCCCAATGTGCGGCCCATGTGTGCTTATTGTCATTGCTGCAGTAGCTATTGTTGACTGTAAATGGAGTATCTGGTAGTTCATTTTCGTCATCTCATTAACGTGTCAGAGAATGTGGACGGAGCATGTGGTGCTTTTAATCATAACCCAATAAGGTATCTGACTCTGGTAAGAATTTCATCGTGAAAGTTCTCTTAGCTTTGGGGAACGATGGGTTTTCTTGGGCAGGTCTGGTTTGACTCACACTGTCGGTGGTCCAGCCTCAAAGTCTCACCTCTAATCAAATCAAGACGACTGAGGCCATCTCTGGACAAATCTAGTGTCACTTCCTTCGACCGAAGTGACAGCTGTTCCATGAAAAGGTCATATTGTGTGTTGAAGTATGGGAATACCCTCATTTAGAGGTCATGACTTGATGACAATCTCTGAAGTTCATAACCCAATAAGGTATGTGACTCTGGTTAGAATTTCATCGTGAAGGTTCTCTTAGCTTTGGGGAACGATGGGTTTTCTTGGGCAGGTCTGGTTTGACTCACACTGTCGGTGGTCCAGCCTCAAAGTCTCACCTCTAATCAAATCAAGACGACTGAGGCCATCTCTGGACAAATCTAGTGTCACTTCCTTCGACCGAAGTGACAGCTGTTCCATGAAAAGGTCATATTGTGTGTTGAAGTATGGGAATACCCTCATTTAGAGGTCATGACTTGATGACAATCTCTGAAGCTGTTGGATAAAAGTGAAAATGTTCCAAGTTGAGCTGAAATGTGGCTTTGTTAAACCTAGACAAGGGATCCTTTTACCTCGATGGGCCGGGACTATTTCCTCTCCCTCCTTTCATCCCTCTCCCATACCCACCCTCCATTTGTCGTCTTTCAAGACTACACATCTTCTCGTCAATCCGCCTTTTGCTCTTTCCATCTGTCTCTTCTCCCTTTTACTGATTCCCAGTGAAGATTCTGCCAAAGGAATTAGGAGAGTCTTTTATTCACAGGTCTTCACGCGTGCGTGTGCGCGTGCATGTGTGTGTGTGTGTGTGTGTGTGTGTGTGTGTGAGTTAATTACTGCTCTGCCAAGTGACTCTACAGCTGTAACCTCAAGTCTCTCCATTGGCTCGTCTCCTAAATCAAGATGAGCAAAAAATGGGGGAAACACGTAAACACACACATGCACACACACGCACACCTGCATTTTACGTTTCCATCGATGCAGACGACATGGTTACCATGCAGTTCAATTAACCCTTTCAGGCACCCTGTAACCTGATAACATGATAAGCTGTCCACTGTAGTAAACGCCGTCCCCTCAAGGGTTAAATTGCTTCGCATCTTTCTTGGTAAAAGAAACCAAACTGCTCTGGCTTGACTGGTGTTGAGACGTTCCGTTTTTCTCATGCAGTCACTTAACACACAAATACTATTCATCATACCCACATTAAAGAGGAGCCATCCATGCATTCATTCATGTTCCATACCCTCATGAGGGTCAAGCGGTGGCCGACAGACAAGATTGGTGTGGCAGATGTGATTACCACAGTGTCGCCGCGCTGCTTGACTCTTACAGGCAAGTCAATGGGAATACAATAAGGTCATATAACTTATTTAAGAAAACCTGCTGTCAGGAAGTCCCCAAGATACAAATCAGCCATTTTGAGCATGTAATTCTTTTAACATACTGATGGACCTGCGTTTACCATGAGGTTCGGCTCCTGCAGCAGGAACATAACTCAAATGAGCCATATCCTAATGAAGTAGCATCGTTATAATTAATTACAAATTAAATATTTGTATGAAAAATACTAGTAGGCCGCAAATATGAAATATTCTACTTATACAAACAAATGGAACAGCAACAACTGAGTGTGTCTTCTTGTGCCACGTAAAAACATATTTTTCAATTTCAATGCTGTGCCTTAAGCATCATTGGTTTTACTTGCAAAATATACGAACTTCATGCCACTTTCAAAATTGACCCCCTGTAGATTTTTCAGTTTCCATATTATATACTGTATATCCATCCATCCATTTTCCGATCTGCTTTATCCTCACAAGGGTCGCGAGAGCCTATCCCAGCCGTCTTCGGGCAGTAGGCGGGGGACACCCTGAACCGGTTGCCAGCCAGTCGCAGGGCACACAGAGACGAACAACCATCCGTGCTCACAATCACATCTAGGGACAATTTTGAGTGTTCAGTCAGCCTGCCATGCATGTTTTTAGAATGAGGGAGGAAACCGGAGTACCCGGAGAATACCCACGCAGCCTCAGGGAGAATATGCAAACTCCACACAAGGAGGCCGAAGCTGAAATTGAACCATATGTGCGTGTGTGTGTGTGTGTGTGTGTGTGTGTGTGTGTGTGTGTGTGTGTGTGTGTGTGTGTGAGATTATGTCCCTTTTTTCTCATTTTTTTTAGAATACACGTGTAAGTCTCTGCAACCACAGCAACAAAAACAACAACAAAAGTGTTTCAAAACTTGCATCAACCACGAATCCCCTCGCCGCCTCTCCAAAGGTATGACGTCACACACACCGTCAAAGAAGTCATTCACAATAAGTTGGTTGAAAACATTAAAAAAACATTTCGTCAAAAATGTACACCAAACGTAGTGTGTGAAAGGAGCAATAAAACACAATATGCGTTAAAATATAAAACACAAACACATCAGCACCTTTTTATAGATTCGTGATGAAAATAGTGTAAGGAATGTGCAACTTAAATATAATAATAATAAAATCCCCACTCCCACTTTACATTGTATTAGCGCTTATTGAAAGTGATTGGGACAAGCGGAAGAAGATCAATGAGGCAGCCAAGCATTGTCGAGAGAAGTGGCGACCCAATGATATGGAATTGGAAATGCGGGTCTTCAACCTGCCGGAGCATCAAGTTCTGCTTTGGCCTGGTCAAAGACTTTTCACATGTTTCCATCCTGCCGCTCACACAGTCGACTCCAAGCTCAACGCAAGGCTCTGATGACGTATTAGACATATGTCGGATGTACTCAGGCAATCATCGATCACAACACAACGCCATAAGTAAAAAGACAGGCCCTCCGTTGCCATCTGATGAGCTTTGGGTGTCTTCCCTTTATAGTTTACATGCATAATTGGCTGGCTACCGGTTCAGGGTGTACCCCTCCTACTGCCCGAAAACAGCTGGGATAGGCTCCAGCACGCCCCGCGACCCTTGTGAGGAGAAGCGGATCGGAAGATAGATGGATGGGTGGATAACTATGTGTTGATTTATTATCGTGTCATATTTATTTATTTGTTCACTTAATGATCTGCCTCAACCCTCGGCTTAATTTAGCTGACAACAGTTGAATCAGGGTCGTCGGGACATTTATTTTTTTTCCACTTTTGGCATTGGCAATATTATCACATCCAAGAAATCATTCAGCATTTGCAAAGTAACACACTTCACACATCCTTTTTCATTTTAATGAAGACCACAAGATCCTTTAATTTGAAACACAAGACATTCTTTTCAAAATGATTCTATCCTTTAATTTGAAGATGATTTGTTGATTTTTATGAGTCACTCAACCCTTCTGCCTCACACTCAGGAGGTCCGAATCCAATCTCCATGTGGAGTTTGCACTTTCTCCTCATGCTTGAGTGGATCTTCTCTTGATTCTCCAGCCACACCCGTGCCCCCACCGCCACATCTCAAAAACTTTCTTCGGTGAATGAATTACTCATAAGAATGAAAGTGTGAATGATTGTTTGATTTGTTGCCCGTGTTTGACTGCTGAATGGTCGACGGTGTACCCCACCTCCGAACCAGGTCATTCTTTTTTAGTGGATGTCACTCAGATGATTTCTCCCCTGAAGATAAAAAAAGGAAACAGGGAGAAAATACCTTTGTAATTATTTCTATTTTGTCAACACACTGTATAGCCCGATATCCGAATGAGTATGCTTACAAGTGATTGGGCCAATGGTGAGTGGCTTCATTGGGGCAGAGTCTGAGAAAGAGCGGCTTGCTCTCGCCACGCAAGGCTACGTGAAAAGGAAAACGATATCACCAAGTGGTTCATAAACAATGGACAAGTCGTTGCCATGCTGTGCATCAAACAGAATAGAGTATACTGTATTACTGACCGGAATGCAAGAGTGCCTCCCGCGGTCACACAGGCTGAAGGTACAGTGGAGGTAAACATCTCGGTATTCTCCCTGAGGTGGGAGGAAGAGGGCAGAGAAACGAGCCTGAAGCGACGAGCCACTCTCGACCACCGACACTTGTCGGGGATCAGCGGCACATCTAAAACAGCCGAGGGGAGACATCATTGGTTATCATCCTCTTTTAGTCACGAATCTATAGTCATTCCAACTGAGGAGACGCATACTTGTCATGGATGAGAGAGTATGGCTCAGCGGTCGCGGGATCTGGGGAGTGGGAAGCAAAGCAATCCTCCAAAACGAGTGCCAAGCCGGGATCTCCTTTGTCCACAGAGACCTCCACATACAAAAGTGAGCCCACTGGAAGGACGACCGCACCCGCTGCAAAAGGCTCTGTGTAATTGGAGGTGTGGTACAAGACCATGGAGGCTCTGATTTCGTCACCCGGCATACCACTAGCACCTTCCGGACTGTCAACAAAAAAGAGTACATATCATAAATCAAGGTAAGTGTCTCTCTTCACGATTAATCTACAACTCTGAACATCGTTACATAAATCTTTATAACACCAAAGACATATTTGCCAATTTCGAATATCAATACACTGCTGTCAGGGAAGTGACCCGGACAGTTTGAATGGAGAGACTCGATTCGGGAACAGATCAGTCCGCACCTGGAGGCCAAGACACCTCCCGGTACAAACAATGGCGACTTTGTTATTTCAATGGGTACTCTTTCCGTGAATTGAGACAACTGTCACTTCACTCAAGGACAACTTATCATAGTGGATAGTACAATTACTTTTTTTTTTTTTACAGCAAGAAATATTGACCATATCTACAACATAGAAATGCTTTTGCTTTATCTGAAAAATCAGCCAAATAGAAATGCACTTCCATCAATATACAGTATTTCCCATTTTAAACACTGACTAGAAATGGAATGACTGTACACCTGCAACACTGTTTCTTATTAAATCACAGTTCACAGCCAAGTAATTCACAGCAAAGATCACCCTAGTTATGATATACTCACTCCAGGGCCGGCCTGATGGCGACATTCAGCATGCTGTTTGTGTACCGGGGATAGGCACACGAGAAAGGAAGTTTCAGAGGAAGAGAGAAGGATGGCCCGTTTGTTGGGTAGATGAATAGACTGTTGGAGTAGATGAGGTGTGTCTGGTTGGTCTGCAAGACAGATGTTCATGAGATAGAACATTAACATTTCATTCAATCACAGCTTTGATATTGGTGATAGCGATCAAGAAAAACACCCCCCCACCCCCACACTCTCCCCAAAAACAAGGATTACTACCCTCTAAAAAAAGAAATATTTTAGACAGCACAACAAGAGACCCACCAGATAGATGTGTTAAAGTGTCTTGTTTGTTGTTTTGATTTGTTTTTACCGTCAGCATGTTTCCACAGGCACCTGCCCGAGTGTCGGCCTCGTACCACACAATGCCACTCTGCTCCCTGACCCGGGAACAGCTGCGATCTGCCAGGTTGCCAGAACGTGGGTTGTAACCAGCCTTTTCTACCCGAAGCGAATTCAGGCCCGCTTTGATTTTGTCAAAACCACAAATAAGGTGCGAGGGTCCGAGTGAAGCTCGGTCATCTAAACAAAACAAAAAAAAATGCATGAGTTCATTATTTTCATGGTTTCTGTGTAATTATGCCAAAACTCAATCCAAAGTTACCTTCACAAACAACACCGACAGACTCATCGTGAACACAGTTGAAATCCCCAATCTCTTTGTGATTGCACTCTCCCAGCTTTGCTTCACTTCCGGTGCATTGGAATTCATCCAGCCTCATGGTCGCTGGGCCCTTTCCAAAGCGAGCATACCACGTAGTCGCCAGGGCCCTGCCGCAGCCCAACTGTCTGCACACCACTTGTGCACGCTTCAGGTCCCAGAAGTGGTCGCACATCGTTCCCCACTGTCCGCGTAGGAAGACTTCCACTGTGCCGAAGCAGGCGGTGTTTCCACCATCCACCAGACGGACCTCTACCTCATCCGCTGGTTGTTGTGGTACTGTTGGGAAAGGATACATTGTACTAGTGTAGTGCTTCTCAATTATTTTCTGTCATGCCCCGCCGAGGAAGAAGAAAGCATCTCGCACCCCCACAACTCCCGCACGACTATCAATAGTATCATTTGTCTATAAAATTGTGATAAGCACACCTTTGCATAACACTGTATTCGTATTAACCTTTAAGAGAATAAAAAAAGAAAGAAAGATGGACCAACTTACAACAAAGAAAAGCTTTATTAACTGTCACAGAAAAGATTTAAAGTTCAACTGAAATTCAAAAATACAATTAAATCCTTAATTAAACATTTTTTGACTGACCATGTCAAACCACACGATACTGAAAAATAAAATTGCATAAAATCAATAAATAATAATGCATTCCATCTGATCACCAAAATTAACTCAGGAGCACAATATTAAAAAAAAAAAACAACAAAAAACAAAAAAAAAACGTTCCCCTGCAAAACAAAAATGTATCAAATAATTTGTGCTGATTTTTTTTTAATCAAAGATGACGTCTGGATTAATGGCTACAAGTAGCAGTCATAAAAGCGGGATGATTTTTGGCAGACAAAAGACGAAAAACTATTCACATCCACATCCGCACTGCCACTGAGTGGGAACCGATAACACGCTGCCTGGTCTCAAGCCAGGCGAGTGTACAACGACACCATCAGCGACTCAGGCAAAGTACAAAGCTTGAATTTGGCATGATAGTCTGGAATGTTTCCTGGAAGAATGCATTTATTGTTGTTTGGATACTGCAGTTGGTTAATTTGCTTGGAATTACTTCTATTCTTATCTCACTGAGTATGAGAGGACATCATACCAAATCATATCAAAATAAGGTGAAAACTTTACCTGATCCTCTTATCATGAGCTGCAAAATCAGAAACAGCAATAGTCTTCCTGGCATCCCCATCCTGGCCGCGTGTCGACCTCGAGGCGAAAGAAAAACCATGAAATCCATTCATTTTGAAAAAATGGTTGACGAGATGTGAATAATAGGCAATCATGAAATCTTGAGCAAATTGCTTTTCTTACCTTGCGACTGTTTTGTTTCCTCCGCCTGCTCCACTTGGTTATTTGAATACAGGCTGGAGACAATGAACAGTTTCTTCGAAGGTTTTATTTGCAGAATATTCCGAGCCCGTGAGCTACAAGGAGTAGATCACAAGTACAAAGACACGACTCGCAACATATTTATATCATCAGAAGGGCGGTATCGAAACTCTTGTGCGACACCGGGACTTTCGTTTGTGCCAACTCACGGCGCATTCCGATGGCGCTGTGCATCACCACAAAGTCTCCAGTAAGCAGTGTAGCAAAATGAAGGATACATCTGGCTACAAAACAGAGTTTCGCTGCAGACGTGAGAAAGTTATACAGGCATGACTAAATATGGGCAAAAGACACACTTCATTAACTATCTATCGATCTATCCTCCGCATGTTCGTTGATTTTGGATGATGAGGATGTTGGTGATCCAAATACACGAACAGTACCTTCAAAGGTTTTATTTGCAGAATATTCCGGGCACCCATGGTTCCTCCTCCTGCGATCACGAGTGCTCAGGAGGAGGAACATATTTCTTTCATCAGAAGGGCGGTATCGAGACTGTGGTGCGACCTCGAGACTTCAGTGTCTCCTAAACCGATTCTTAGCTTGTATCAACCCGTCTCCACAAAGTCTCCAGTCAGCAGTGTATCAAGGCTAACAGGTGGCTCCAAGGACGCGCCTGGTTTACTGCGGGCATAAGAATGTTATACAGGCCAGAGTGAATATGGCGGAAGACACACATCATTGCATTATTTTAATCAAATATTGTTGAGAAACACAAAAGACCGCGGCAGAGGTTTCACTCGCCACCTGCAGGTGGTTCCTCTTGTTCTTCGTTTTCTTGTTGGCATTGCTGTTTTTAGTGCTGGTATCCTTTCTTCTTCATGTTTGTGTTCTTTTTCTTGTTTTTAATTTGATCAGATCTTGTTTGAAGCTTTAAAAGTGTACAAAAGTCATTGCGTAAACTTGTCAAATGTTTACGTGCAGGATATCGAAGTTGGCTTGGCAAACCTTCATCCTCGTAAGAAGTTTGCGTGCATCAAAACCATTTGCAATCACAACAGCTTTTTTTCACATAGATATGGAGCTGTTTTTATTTATCTATTTATCTATTTATTCATTTATTTGTAGTCGCCTACTTCGTCCCCATTTACAAGTTTACCCACAACTGAAGCGTCAATTTGTCTTGTCGAGTCAAAAGTAACATTTCAGCAACGCTTCATCCTGCATGTGAACGTGCTGCGACAGTACTTCTTTATCTCACTGTTGCGTTAATAACCACACAGATGATAAATCTCAAGCTCTTTCCTTATTTTTATCTTTTAAGGTGCCAGCAGAATCACCTCCAGATCAACCCCGGGAAAACTAAGGAGTTGGTTTTGGATTTCTGCAGGAAACAGTCTTCACCTGCACCGATGAACATCCACTGTACGGACATAGAGAGGGTGACCTCCTGCAAGTACCTGGGTGTTCTTCTCAACAATAAGCTTGACTGGTCTACCAACACGGACGCCCTGATCAGGAAGGGACAGAGCCGCCTCTTCCTACTCAGGAAACTGAGGTCTTTTGGGGTTCAGGGGTCACTCCTTAAGACCTTCTATGACTCTGCGGTGGCTTCAGCCATCCATTATGGCTTGGTCTGCTGGTCAGGCAGCATCTCAGCACGGGACAGAGAAAGACTGGACCAACTGGTCAGGAGGGCCAGTTTCGTCCTGTGCTGCTCCCTGGACACTCTGGAGGAGGTGGGCAACAGCTATGCTGGCCAGACCCTCCCACAGCCCTCCAGCCCACCCAGACAGCACTGGGTAGCTCCTTCAGCCAGAGACTGTTACATTCGCGCTGCAAGAAGGAGAGATACCGCCGCTCGTTCCTACCGACTGCTGTCAGGCTGCTAAATAAACAAACGTGAAAAAAACCTGGACTCATACATTGTAAATAGCACAGCCACCTTATGCAGCATATATGCAGTTGCATATATGCTTATATTTATATTTGATATTTTATATCTTTACCTGCTTTATTTTCTTTTCTACCCCCCACCCCCCCTTCAATTTTTGCTGTTGTAGATTGCAAATTTCTCCGTTGAGGGACAAATAAAGGTTTCTTATCTTATTTTTATCTATTTATTTTTTCACCTTGAGCCAAGAAACCACTCATGCGACACGGACCACCCCTGGCTTCGGTTCTAATTGGTTTCTGTTTTTCATTGGGTTGTGCTTCGTTCAATGGTTGGTGAGATTCCAGTTGTGTTCTGTAGTGGCCCTTTTCCACCTCGCTTGTGCTAGTTCCGGCCCAGTGCCCAGATTAGCTCCAGTTCTTTATTTTCTCATTCTCTAGCTCGGGTGCTTCAAATTGGGACCAAAGCGGCCCCCAATTATGTGTTGGGTCAGACTCTAGCAGCAACCACGTCGGGAGGTGGCGCGGGGTTTTCGTGACGATCGCAGATGTAGCAGAATGACTCCCTGGACGCACGGAAGGTTTGCACAAACTGTTGAGAGGTGAACTTTGCCGATGGCGAATGTGCCCAGCTAGCACGCGATCTCCCACTCGAGGCCAGCCTCGTGACCATCTACAATGATTAAGAAAGATTGAAGCGTTTGCTGGTTGCATGTCCACGACTGTTATATCCTATATACAAGTGTAAGCTTTTGTTAAATTGTTCATTATTATCATTTTATGTTTGAACATTACAGTATTGTCTTTGATGTTAAAGTTACCTAAATTATATTCTCTTTAATAATTTCTTAAACATGTTTATGTTGAGAGCGTCTGATTGGCTGAAGGAAACAGGAAGTGTTTTAGTAGCCGGAAGAAGGTGTTGTGTTCTCGAACGTGCTTCGGTGCAGACGTCTTTTTGTCCCTTTTAATAAAACTGCATTCAAAGGATTCCATCTCTCCTTTTGCCCATTCCGAACGAGCACCAATTTTCTTTTTTTTTTATGGGGGTCATGGTTTGGTTTTAATTGGGTCCTTACTTCCAGTTTGCTCTGAGATTGCTTTTGTTCTGTTTGTTTCTGCACTTGGGCTCAGTTGGTTTCAGATTGTAGATGGCGAAGAACACATTTACATGTGTGCATGTGTGTGTTTGTGTATGTGTGTGTCTGTGTGTGTGTAGGAGCAGTGGCAAGTAGCTATTAGAATTCCCTTTTTGTTGTTTGGATCGGACCGAACATTGAAGCTTATCAGGAGACAATGAACAGTTTCTTCGAAGGTTTTATTTGCAGAATATTCCGAGCCCGTGAGCTACAAGGAGTAGATCACAAGTACAAAGACACGACTCGCAACATATTTATATCATCAGAAGGGCGGTATCGAAACTCTTGTGCGACACCGGGACTTTCGTTTGTGCCAACTCACGGCGCATTCCGATGGCGCTGTGCATCACCACAAAGTCTCCAGTAAGCAGTGTAGCAAAATGAAGGATACATCTGGCTACAAAACAGAGTTTCGCTGCAGACGTGAGAAAGTTATACAGGCATGACTAAATATGGGCAAAAGACACACTTCATTAACTATCTATCGATCTATCCTCCGCATGTTCGTTGATTTTGGATGATGAGGATGTTGGTGATCCAAATACACGAACAGTACCTTCAAAGGTTTTATTTGCAGAATATTCCGGGCACCCATGGTTCCTCCTCCTGCGATCACGAGTGCTCAGGAGGAGGAACATATTTCTTTCATCAGAAGGGCGGTATCGAGACTGTGGTGCGACCTCGAGACTTCAGTGTCTCCTAAACCGATTCTTAGCTTGTATCAACCCGTCTCCACAAAGTCTCCAGTCAGCAGTGTATCAAGGCTAACAGGTGGCTCCAAGGACGCGCCTGGTTTACTGCGGGCATAAGAATGTTATACAGGCCAGAGTGAATATGGCGGAAGACACACATCATTGCATTATTTTAATCAAATATTGTTGAGAAACACAAAAGACCGCGGCAGAGGTTTCACTCGCCACCTGCAGGTGGTTCCTCTTGTTCTTCGTTTTCTTGTTGGCATTGCTGTTTTTAGTGCTGGTATCCTTTCTTCTTCATGTTTGTGTTCTTTTTCTTGTTTTTAATTTGATCAGATCTTGTTTGAAGCTTTAAAAGTGTACAAAAGTCATTGCGTAAACTTGTCAAATGTTTACGTGCAGGATATCGAAGTTGGCTTGGCAAACCTTCATCCTCGTAAGAAGTTTGCGTGCATCAAAACCATTTGCAATCACAACAGCTTTTTTTCACATAGATATGGAGCTGTTTTTATTTATCTATTTATCTATTTATTCATTTATTTGTAGTCGCCTACTTCGTCCCCATTTACAAGTTTACCCACAACTGAAGCGTCAATTTGTCTTGTCGAGTCAAAAGTAACATTTCAGCAACGCTTCATCCTGCATGTGAACGTGCTGCGACAGTACTTCTTTATCTCACTGTTGCGTTAATAACCACACAGATGATAAATCTCAAGCTCTTTCCTTATTTTTATCTTTTAAGGTGCCAGCAGAATCACCTCCAGATCAACCCCGGGAAAACTAAGGAGTTGGTTTTGGATTTCTGCAGGAAACAGTCTTCACCTGCACCGATGAACATCCACTGTACGGACATAGAGAGGGTGACCTCCTGCAAGTACCTGGGTGTTCTTCTCAACAATAAGCTTGACTGGTCTACCAACACGGACGCCCTGATCAGGAAGGGACAGAGCCGCCTCTTCCTACTCAGGAAACTGAGGTCTTTTGGGGTTCAGGGGTCACTCCTTAAGACCTTCGTTGACTCGGTGGTGGCTTCGGCCATCCATTACGGCATTGTCTGCTGGTCATGGGGCAGAGAGAGACTGGAGCGACTGGTCAGGAGGGCCAGTTCTGTCCTGGGCTGCTCCCTACACACTCTGGAGGAGGTGGGCAACAGGAGGATGCTAGCTAAGCTAAAAGCTATGATGGACAGTCCCTCCCACGCCCTCCAGCCCACCCAGACAGCACTGGGTAGCTCCTTCAGCCAGAGACTGTTACATTCGCGCTGCAAGAAGGAGAGATACCGCCGCTCGTTCCTACCGACTGCTGTCAGGCTGCTAAATAAACAAACGTGAAAAAAACCTGGACTCATACATTGTAAATAGCACAGCCACCTTA